AATGCAAATATTTATACAAAGGCAGATGTTACTATCTGCTACCTGGCAAACCTCGTATAAGTTTTAACACTGTGTTCGACAAATCTGTAACTACAATCTTACTTTAGATTTAAGTGCCCTTCATCTGGCCTATTCCCACATGTAAATGTAAAAAAAAAAACAAAACCAAAAAACTATATACACACTCAACATGCACATTTAGCTTAAGCCTTAGTGATTTGGTTAGGAGTTTAAAACTAACTAAGCCTATTTTTGTAGATAGGCTTTGTATCTTTAAGTCTACCTTTAAGCCTATCTTTGTAGAAATTCACATGATAAATAATACAGAACCTTTTTGGCATGGCTGGTATTCTGACATTTTAACCAAGGGGGGTTTTTATCACATGCATTAAAACACTTTGCACAATCCCATTGATGAGAATGTTTCTTGAGTTTCTTGCTCTAGCTCTCAACTTAGGAACTAAACATGACCTGTAACAGCAGAACAGCTAAAATCCTCAAACCTGCAAAAAAATTTGCATGGAAATAGTTTCACTGAAGTTGGCTGGACTGACTGAATAGTCCAGAGCTGACTACTCCTGCAAGGGAAATGAGCGAGGTGACGTAGCAGTCAGACAAGATCGAGATGAATTTTAACAGGCATGCGCACCACTTCCCTTTGTGAACTGGAAATTTCACATTATTGAATTTCTATTTAATGTTGTTACCTAAGTAAGAAATATAGCAAACTGTCCAGAACAGCAGTCCCTTCACGCAAAGCCTAGTGCTCAGATGAAGGGATTTCCTGAATACATATTTAAAACATGCAAGTATGAGCCAAAACAAGAAACCTAGGTGATATATTTGAAAAAAAAAAAAAACCAAAAACAAAAAAGGCGCCACAGTTACACTCAATTTGCTTAAATACTGGTTATAATTATTACTTCCCACATAAGTATGCAGATCATCCTGGAAGCTACTGATACAGAAATTCTAGAAAGTTATGTGACCTTGTATCAGCTACAAAGATCAGAGAAACAAAAAATATCCTCACAAGATTTTTATTTTCAAAACTCTTGTTTGCTACAGGATCCAAACTACTGCTGGTTGAGAAGCAGCAGAGGACCTGGCTGACATTCACTGCAGCTTCTTTCCCCAAACCTTCCTTAATTTGCACTTTCCAATTGTCTCAAACTCCAGGTCTTTTTGTTTTCTTTTCAACAATGTGGATCTGTGGAAGGTTAATCCCAAAATACTCCTAATTTCAAAATAATATACTGCAACTTGCAATTGTGGTTTGCTTATATTTATCATGTATAAAATACCATCTATGTTGCATTTTTACAGTAAATACTACTCAACAAAAAATTCCTATAGATATATGCTATAAGCAAAAATACTCATCCTGGACATTACATTTATACATTGCACTTGGGGCTACTGACAGCTCCGTCCTACTCAGGCTGCAGACCTGAGTCCTAAAAACCTGACCCTCCAAATGTGCCTGTGAATCCATTTAGTCCCATCATTGCTGTGTAAGCCCAAAAAAAGACCCAAGGATATAGCTGCTAGGCTGGGACTCGCATGAATGGGTTTTAAGACTTTTTACAGTATCACAAATTTGGATTCGTTTCACTGAACCTAGTTCACAAGCCGAACAGGCCAGGAATTGGCCCTTGATTTTTAAAGATGTCTCAGAAAACTTTGTCCCTCCGCTGTGTCACTAATTACATGGAGAGCAGCACTGACCACTTACTACAACTTTTGTTTGGAAAAGCCAGACTTTTGTAACACAAACAAGTAAGAAGAGGTGCAAGGCACACCTTGGTACGGATGGGCGACAAAAGTCTCAGCATCAGATACCCAGCCAACAGGCACTCAAACTGTAACCAGAAAAATAAATAATAATAGCTTTGTTTACCTAATGCAAGGCTATTGAAGATTTGAAGACAAGGGAAAGAAAAAGAAATTTGAGAGGCATTTTCGATGGGGAAACACGTAACTTCCACTGCATTATGCCCGCAGCCTGAATTGCGACGCCTTGATATTTTTATATATATTTTTTTTCTCCTGATTGCAGCGGAGCCGCAGCCCGGCGTCCCCTCCCGTCGCGGTGACACGGGCGGCCCCGACGCAGCCCCGTCCCGCCCCCGCAGCGCCCGGCGAGTCCGACCCCGCCGTCTCCGGAGATAAAACAGCGCCTGCAGGCAAAAAAGGCAGGGTCCGCCCCGCGCAGGCACCGCTGGGATTCGAACCCAGGATCTCCTGTTTACTAGACAGGCGCTTTAACCAACTAAGCCACGGCGCCGGGCCATGAATGCGGTCTTTACGCGGCCCCAATCCATCGGCCCCGCAGCAGCCCGGCTCCCTGCCCACGGTGCAGCCTCCTCTGCGGTGTCCCGGTACCGACCCGTCCTCGCCGGCTGCGGCACTGCCCTAGCAGACCGGTAGGAGCAGCTCGGCTCCCCCC